ACATGGTCATCAAACCACAGGACAGTTGGAATACAGTCTCAGAAAGTCTGGAAGCATGTCTGACAGATATCAGTATCTGGATGAACGCCAACATGCTTAAGCTTAATCAGGAAAAGACGGAACTAATCGTCTTTTCCCCAAAGTGTCAGTCAACAGTTGCTCTTTGAGACTATTCCAGCTGTTAAAAACCTAGGGGTATATTTTGATAGTTCACTTAACATGGAGAAACAAGTGAACGCTATTGCCAAATCCTGTTACTACCAGATCAGGAACATCGGCTGTATTCGGCAGTTTCTAACTGCAGATGCATGCAAGATTTTGGTGCATTCACTTGTTACCTCTCGGTTGGGTTATGGTAACGCCCTGCTCTGTGGTATATCCGCCAAACTAACTAGTCGTCTGAAGAGGGTCCAGAACACTGCAGCACGGCTAGTTACTCGTACTCGGAAGAGAGAGCAAATCACACCTGTGCTTTATTCGTTGCACTGGTTACCTGTACGATACAGGTCGCAGTACAAAATTCTGGTATACACATACAAGGCACTGAATGGAACAGCTCCTCAGTACCTACGGGAACTTGTTACCCTGTATCAGCCGTCACGATCACTGCGGTCGGAGTCAGAATCTTTCTTGTGTGTCCCTAATCTCGTACTGTGACCGACGGACACAGATGCTTTGGGAGGGTTTCGGCTACGTTGTGGAATAGATTACCATCTGCTATTAGAAAGTCAAATACCCTGGCCAAGTTCAAGAGGGACATCAAAACTAACCTCTTCAAGAAGTCTGCATTTTAGAATCTTTGTAAAGACGTCATGTCTTTACAGGTGATCCACAGGGGTCGGTCCTCGGACCTTCACTTTTTTATTTTCTATAAATGATATTGCTGATAATTTACTTTCACTTGTCAGATTGTTTGCCGATGACACGTCTTTATCATTTTCATCGAGCATTGTAATAGAAATAGAAAATGTATTGAACCCTTATTTGGCAATTATTGAAGATTGATCAGACAAATTGAATGTTGATTTTAATCCAACAAAAACTGAAGTAGTGCTATTTTAGTGTTTACAAAAGTTAGATGTGCATTTAATGTTTGATAATACACCATTACAAACTTCCACTGATCACAGACATGTAGGTGTAACATTAAATGAAAACTGTAAATGGTCTGTACATGTTGACAATATTGTTAAATCAGCATCAAAACAGATATTAGTATTACGTAAGTTAAAATATATTTTAAATAGGAAAACATTGTCAAAATTGTTTACATAGTTTTTTATAAGATCTCTTTAGGAATATGCTTGGGATGAATGTAATGGTACAGATTCGGAAAAGCTAGAAAAATTACAATCAGAAGCGGCTAGAACTGTGACTGGTGTTCCTGTTTTTGCTAAGTAGGCTAAGCTTTTATTTCGAAACTGGGTGGGAAACATTAAGCAATCGTCGGAAAACTCGTAAGTTAACATTTCTATATAAAATACAAAATAATCTTACCCCATCTTACGTACAGGATATAACGCCAAACAGAGTACATTATGTAGGCAATTACAATATACGAAATCAAAATAATTAATAATTATGTGATTCCAAGATGTCGATTAACCTTATCCGAGAAATCGTTCATTCCTAGCACATTAAGACTTTGGAATAATCTTGATATTCAAATCAGAACATGTAATACGCTTTCTATTTTCAAAAATGAAATATCCTTCAAAGAAAATTGTGCTCATGATTTTTATTCCATTGGTGAACGAAATTGAATGTTTTGCATACAAGACTCAGGTATAACTGCAGTTCCTTGAGCTTTGACCTCAAACGTATAAATGTAATTCAGTCGCCTGAATGCATATGTTCTTATCCTATAGAAAATGTTGAGCATTATATTTTAGAATGTCCATTGTATGAAGAAGGCAGAAATACCCTCAGGAGAAAACTTTTAGGGAATTTGAATTTAGATTTGTTAACTGATGATTTACTTTTGTTCAGACATGTTTACTGCTAATGTTAATTGTTTTCTATTCATATCAGTTCAAGAATACATTAAACATTCAAAACGATTTATGTTAAAACAAAAGTAAATATAAATATATATCACCTACACGTGGTTAGCATTGTGGTACTTTGATGACGCAGTGGATCGCATCTGGAATAGCAGGGAGTCTAGCCAGCTCGGAACTCTTAAGAAAGCCAAGGATGTGTGATATTTATGCTTCTTAAAAACGAACATTATGGCACGGTGCGTTTTTAAGAAAGCTTCAAGGATGTGACCATTGTGTGATGCGATCTGCTGCGATAACAAGCTGCTAAGGTGTTGACACATGCAGGTTGATTTCAAATTTTCAAATTTTATGTTGTGTTAGTGACTATTTGATATGTATCATTGACAGAAATTTCAATATGAAATTATAAACAATATATTGTTTATAGTAATGTTACAATGAAGTTTATGTTATATACAGGTTTATGAGACATGTAAGGGTACATTAAATACAAAAAAAAAAATCTATAAGATTTGTATATTGTACATTTTATCTTATTCATGTTTCCTTTGAATCGTTAAATTTACAGTCATCAATAGTTTCAACTGTGCAGCCATATGTATATTTTATCATCATTGTTCGAAGACGAACTTTATGTTTTATAACTTGTGTCTAATTCCTTGTTTAAATCAGTAAATCAGTAAAAGTTTATCCTACAGTATTTTCAGTGTTTGTCGTTGAAGACGTATAACGTCGTTTGTCGTTCTCGAGTCCACCTCGTGTTCTCACGACAAAACCTGAAAATACAGTTAGATAATAGATAATTAGTATTTCTGTGACTTTAACTACAGTAACCGTTGCTCAAAGATCTGATCAATATTATCTTAGTTTATGAATTATATTCATCGAAACATCGATATTCCGTCTTTGCGTATTGCAGAGTTATCTTCTCTTGGGAGGAGGTATTGATTGTTAGGTCACTTGTTTGTGAGAGTAACGTCATCAATTTTTGAGAAAACGACGTAATTTTCTCGCACAAACCAATGACGTAACAATCAAAACCTGCTCCCAAGAGAAGATAACTCTGCAATACGAAAAGACGGAATATGCGAGGTAATTTTTGATAAAACCTTGGGTGACCGAATCAGATAAACTGGTGTTCAGCCTGGTCAGGGAATCGTAGCTTTTATAACATTGTTTAATTCTCTGAGATTTGTGATTTTATCTAATCATACCTAACTTGTGGCAATGATAACTTGAGATATTAACTGTACATAACGTCGTTATCAGTGCATTGTGGACTAATAATGACGTCACACACTGATTCATAATTACTACTAGGATTCTAACATGAGAAATACACGTCGTGTCAGTGTCATTCATGTCGCCGTCTATAAAGGTTGCATGTCGAGAATAGTCTGAGCTGCTAGTTGAAGCCAATACAAATCTATACGTACATTTTGTATATGTCTGACAGAGTCGCCGGAAAGTTATTATAAAACAATGAGGATCGTAAACGCCGTAAAGTTATTATAAAACAATGAGGATTGTAAAAGCCGTAAAGTTATAAAAAACAATGAGGATTGTAAACGCCGTGAAGTTATTATAAAACAATGAGGATCGTAAACGCCGTAAAGTTATTATAAAACAATGAGGATTATAAAAGCCGTGAAGTTATTATAAAACAATGAGGATCGTAAACGCCGTAAAGTTAATATAAATCAATGATGATTGTAAACGCCGTGAAGTTATTAAAAAACAATGAGGATTGTAATAGGCGTAAAGTTATTATAAAACAATGAGGATGGTAAACGCCGTAAAGTTATTATAAAACAATGATGATTGTAAACGCCGTAAAGTTATTATAAAACAATGAGGATTGTAAACGCCGTAAAGTTATTATAAAACGATGAGGATTGTAAACGCCGTAAAGTTATTATAAAACAATGATGTTTGTAAACGCCGTAAAGTTATCATATAACTATCAGACTAGAATTAATGAGGATATTTTGTTTCCTTTCTTATCTTGCCGTTAGAAGATTTACTCGCAAGTGGCGTACGTGAGAGGTAGAGTTTCACTCATCCAGTCTGACCTCCTTTAAATAAAAGCAAGGCGATCTATAGATTTTCATTCCCAAAGTTTATTTACATAATTAAATATTTTACTAACAAACAAACTAAATACTTACTATATACAATATACAATAAAAGTTATCAATTCTATCTTGCACTTCATAACTTACTGTTAACCATTTTCTTATTAATATATAGTAATTAACTTTTACTCATAATTATTCCTTATACAACATAAAACATTCTTTTTCTATATCATCGCTTTTACATTTACAATTAAGAGGTGTACCATACAATATAACCTTAAATTCTTACCTTAAAATAAAAGCAAGGCGATCTTTAGATTATCATTCCCAAAGTGATTGTTTGGGAGAGATCGAGCCTTTTATACTCAGCACCATAGTGATGGTCAATTTTCTAACTGCTTGACCAATAAATGCAGAATTTCGCATCATGTGATCCTGGTCACCAAGAGTCGGTTTGGTACCCTTGTTTTGGTGATAAGCCCGGGATAATAATTAACTGAGCATGTCACTATGTTCTTGTTTAACCGTGTTATGTAAGAACAAGTTGAACGTGACTGTTTACATATACAGACATATATCAAAGTACAAAGTCCGAAAGTTCTGGACATCATGACCTTAGTGTTAGGTTGACTTTACAATTACTAGTCGGCTTCATTGTGTACTTTCCTTAATCCTTGACAATCATATTCCTAATGAGTGACTTTTTAATCTTTCAATGAAGCCGAGACCTTTTAGTTTTCATTTGGGTATGAGAACACAACATGGTGTCAGAAGTAACTGAAAAGAATCCCAGAAGCTCCACGACGAAAAAGTAAGACTTTTTTGTGTGAGAATATTTCTCAAATCGTGCATTTAATCGGTGAAACGAAAGTTGTTTCACACACACGTGGTATCGAGAATCGACCTCGTGGCGCGAACAATGGAGCACATCAAAGCACCACCGGAGTTGGTTCTCACAACGGTGGACGGAAACTTAGCCGAGAGATGGCGTAAGTGGGAACAAACAATGCAATTATAGATAAATATAGCGATGTCTGGCAGGGAGGAAAAAGACAAATGCAGTGCATTTTTATACCTGATCGGTCAGGATGGCCGAGAAGTGTTCAACACGATGACATTCGACGGAGACACGCGAGACAAAATAAAACCGTTGTTTACAAAGTTTAAAGAGTACTGCCAATCGCACGAGAACACCATCGTATGGAGACACAAATTAAACACAAAAGTTCAAGGAAAAAGAGAAATGATTGACCAGTATGTCACTGAACTTAGAACCATCAGTACAAACCGACCCCGCAGTCATCAAAACAATACAAACTTGTGGAAACTCCGAGACACTCTAATCTATGTGGTCAGTGTGGGGGGCAACACATGAAAGGGAACTGTCCAGCTTTCGGGAAAAAGTGTCTAAAGTGCCAGAAACTCAACCATTTCATAAAGTGCTGCAGGACCGAAAACCCTGGAAGAGTGCACAATGTTGAAAACAGTGCGCAGGTTGAAACTGACACTCTATTCATCGGATCAGTTGAATCATCACCTAAACACGACACAGAGTTTGGGAGAGATGAAGTGTTCGTAAACCTGAAGTTGTGTCAAGTAAGCGTGAAATTCAAAGTTGACACTGGCTCGCAAGCCAATATGATTCCTCTCAAAACTGTGCAGAAATTACGACCTACAGTCAAAGTGGAGAAGTCCAAGGTAACGCTGACAAGCTACACAGGGGACAAGATACCTGTGGCTGGAAGGTGTGTTATACCGTACAAGGACAGTCAGTTAGATTTCTATGTCACCGACTCCACACATACTCCGTTGCTCGGATTTAGGTCATCGCAAGATCTAAAAATCATCAAGGTTGTACTTACCACCAACACCGAAAGGAAGGATCCTGTAGACATGTACCCCAAACTGTTTGAGGGACTTGGCTGCCTAAAAGAAAGTTACAAAATTCAAATTGATGAATCCGTAACACCGGTGGTGAATGCTCCTAGAAACGTGCCAGAAGCGTTGAGAGGCAGACTGAAGGACGCACTAAGTGAAATGGAGAGAGACGGCATTATTGAAAAGGTTGACCAGCCCACCGATTGGGTTAGCTCATTAGTAGTGGTAGAGAAGCCCTCAGGCAAATTAAGAGTGTGTTTGGATCCACGTAATTTGAAAGTAGCCATCAAGAGGGAACACTATCAGTTACCTACCATTGAGGACATTGTGTCAAGGATGTCCAATGCCAAGTACTTCTCCAAATTGGATGCCAATTATGGATACTGGCAGGTAGCGCTAGCCATGGAAAGTTAGAAGTTGACCACGTTCAACACGCCATTTGGTCGATACTGTTATACAAGAATGCCATTTGGGATTAAATCCGCCCAGGAAGTATTCCAAAAGCGGATGAGTCAGCATTTTGATGGCATTCAAGGGGTTGAGACAGACATCGACGACATACTAGTCTGGGTGCGAGCCTCGAGGACCATGACAGGAACCTCCAGAGAGCCCTAGATAGGTGTCAGGAGATTGGTCTCACGTTGAACAAGGAGAAATGTAAATTTCGTCAGACTGAGGTCAGCTACGTCGGACACCGGCTAACGCAACAGGGAGTACACCCTGATCCATCAAAAATCGAAGCCGTGAAGGACATGCCTCAACCAATAGACAAGAAGGGTGTAGAGAGACTGTTAGGTTTTGTGAATTACCTTTCAAAGGTCATTCCGAACATGTCCACCGTCACTGAGCCAATCAGAAGATTACTCAAGAGTGATGTCGAGTTTGAGTGGACCAAGCCACAGGAAGAGGCGTTCAAAGAGATAAAAAAAGATCATCACCAGGAAACCGGTACTGAAGTACTTTGATGTCAAGAGGCCTATAACGGTCAGTTGTGATGCATCCAAATCGAGTTTGGGAGCGGTGTTGCTTCAGGACGATCAACCGGTAGTTTATGCTTCAAGAGCGTTGACGGACGCTGAAACGCGTTACGCGCAGATAGAAAAGGAGTTATTAGCAGTGGTTTTTGCAGTGGAACATTTCAACCAATACACGTATGGTCAGTGCATCAAGGTCGAGTCGGACCACAAACCATTGGAATCGATAATGCACAAGCCACTAAACCAGACACCCCTCCGTTTTCAACGTATGCTTTTGAGATTACAGAAGTGTGACATCGAGTTGAAATACAGACCCGGGAAAGAATTGGTTCTTGCCGACACTCTATCGAGAGCATACATTCAGAAAAGTGTGACTGACGACAACCTCAGGGAGGAAATTTAGAGACATGTTATGTCGGTGTTGCGAAATATCCCGGTCTCGGATGGGAAGTTGGAGGAAATCAGAACAGAAACTCTGAAAGATGAAACCCTCCAAGAAGTAGTCAGGATTGTTGAGGAAGGATGGCCAGACCACAGGTCCGAGACCCCAAGCAGAACTCATGATTTCTGGACCAACAAAACAGAGCTCACACATGTCCATGGAATCCTATTCAAAGGGGACAGGATTGTGATTCCGAGAACTCTGCAGGCCGAGATGCTGCAGAAAATGCACACGGGTCACATGGGAATAGAGAAAAGCAAGAAACGGGCGCGAGAACTCTTGTATTGGCCTGGTATGGGCAATCGGATATCTGACATGATATCAAAGTGTAGCACATGTCTCGATTACCAAAATGCCAACGCCAGGGAACCCATCTTACCTACAGACATTCCGAAAGGACCATGGCGAGTAGTAGCTACAGATTTGTTCATGTGAAACAATGCTGACTATGTCGTAGTGTGCGATTACTACTCCAGATATTTTGAAGTTGGAAAACTCGAGAACATCAGGAGTGCAACCGTGATAAACCAGCTCAAATCATTCTTTGCGCGACACGGAATACCTGAGGAAGTCCGGAGCGACAATGGTCCGCAATATAGCTCCAAGGAATTCAGGAAATTCGCGGAAGACTGGGGTTTCAATCACAAGACGTCCAGTCCGCACTATCCCCAGAGTAACGGTCTTGCTGAAAAAACTGTGCAAACAGTCAAGCGAATGCTAGAAAAAGCATTGAAGGACGGAAGAGACCCTTATCTCAGTTTCCTAGAGTACAGGAACACTCCCACCGATACCCAATCACCAACAAAGTTGCTGATGAGTAGGGAGTTACGGTCTGTGATTCCGAGCACAGAGAAAAACCTGCGACCAAAGACTGTGAGTTCATATAAGACCAGGAAACAAAGGGAAACGACTCGGTCGAAACAGAGTCGGCATTATGAGAAATCCGCAAAACAACTCCCCAGACTCTCATCAGGAGAGCAGATCAGATTCAGGCATCAGGATGCGTGGAGACCAGGTAATGTCGTGGAACATCACGGTCATACACCGAGATCGAACATGTTCCGTACACCAGATGGAAGGTGTTATCGACGGAACAGACGACACATCATAAGATCGTCCGAGCGGAAACAACCCGTCAACACTGACGTTGTACCTGACGACATCGTACCGGAAACCGTTTCACGTGTTAAGGACAACACTGATGTCGCGACTCCGAAACCGATTATCGGACACACCGATAAATCCGCCCAAGCTGACGTGAGCACCCCTGTTTCGGATCAACCTACACAAAGTAGTCCCAAAGCGACGGTCACACGTAGTGGTAGGCGAGGGAACCAACCGTCGAGATATCAAGAATATGAGATGTGAAATGGGGCATAATAATCCCCTATATATGTGTAGATAGTTGCAGTTTAATCTTTGGTTTGGTTCATCTGAATCAATATTTTTTATTTATTTTTTCCACAAGTTTTCAAATAGAATCAATATCTTCATGAAAGTGTATGCACAAAACCTAGGATCCAGGTGAACAGAGCTATAAGTACAACAAAACAATTTGTTTGTGTTTTCCTGTTTATCCCGAGTGGACGAAAGACGAACTCTTGCCAATTTGTTACTTTATGAGTTATTTTCAAAATAGACATGGTTCACATTCAATCTCATGATAAAGTAATTGATCTGTTCAAACATACATAAATCATGACATTTTCTAGTCAATTCTGATCATTTTATTTTTGAAATAAGTCAAAATTGATGTCCAACCTACAGTCTATTTAATTATAATATAATTAACAATGACACCCAGAAAAGACATTGGATAATTTGTTCAGAACTTTGTTCTCAAAAGAAAGGGGTTGTCGTATTTTGACTTATCGGTTAGTTTTGCCTGTTAAGCCATTTAGTAATTATCGACTGTACTTACCGGGGGACATCCGGGCATTGTAAAATGTGAACTATGATGGCTGATTAAAACCAGACATGAAGTTAAGGCTTTTAGTTTTCATTTGAGTATGAGAACACAACAGGGCCTAACGCTGCTAATACAGTCGCTTCCCGAACGGAGCGAGGTTATCGGCCGCTACCGGCCGATAAACTGCTTAATGATACCTCGCGGCTATCGACCGATAAACTGATACCTGGTCGATAGCGGCGGATCGAACGAACGATCTATGCAGCCGCTTTCACGGGACGGAACTAGTAGTAGTCGTCTGGATAACCGAACCACTCGTAGTGAAGCGGACGTTAATCTACTAAAACAAACAAACAACCGGTACTAGTGCCTAATTACACCTGTACTTACTACCCACAAGATATATTTAAGTCCGTAACTAAACTAATAAAGCCGTGCTATTTTAAAAATGTCGGATCAGTCTAAGAATAACATTTGTCTTATTCTTATGATTAAAATGTTAGTCAATGATACGATTTCTACAACATATATTTGTTTGAATAGAGCGGTTGTTTAATCTATGTTATAACTGAATGATCACAAATGTTTATGTATACCTTGACAATTACGACACGATTTAAATTCAAATACATGATTGCTAGCGAATTGTAACCATAATCACGGAATCACGTAGTCCGTGCCAATATTCACGAAAGAATTGTCCTACCACATTTTGTATTCTTTAATATCGTAACTATGCCTGTTTGTTACATGAAATACCATATTATATTAGCAATGAATTAAGGCCAGATTTTTTGTAAGTGATAATCGGTCTGATGTGTATGTCTAATACGTGTCAGGACGGCGTGTTACGAATTTCAATCGTTCAAAATTTCCCACCTGAGTGAACGCCATTTTGTAGGTCATGGAATTGACTAATCAACAAACCGTACTGATTCGGACCGAAAATAGAAAATAGTATTCTTTGTTTAGAAAATTACGAACCGCCTCTTTTTGTTGATAAGTCATTTCCATGATCTAGAAAATGGCGATCGCTCAGGTGGGAAACTTTGAACGATTGCAATTCGAGGACTCTGCTGGCGGAATTCAGCAGCTGTTGGTAATAATAAGAGCGGATTTGGATCAATAAATAATCTATTTATCGATGTATGTGAGGTATGTGTTGTGCCATAGTAGTTTTTTGTTGTCAGCATCTCAATTAAAAATCTCCGATACCAAACGGTTACGCTTCATAAACATAGTAATTAGTGCGCTCTGGTCCCAAATCAGACGTCTATCTGTCAAACTGGCTTAGTCTGATGTCAGAGGCGGCGGAAATTCAGAACTGATAGCATGGTATACAGAACATTGATATCTATCTAAAAAGTTGGTTAAACAGATACAGATACATATAGTTTATCATGTATTAAACGTGGGATAACCCCTGTTACCTGTGGCTATTGTTATTTCGAAGGTAAAGTTCAGTCACAGAGACCCGCTACAGTTGGTTTGTTTGGACCTATCCCGCTGTGTAAAGAGTAATATCTCTCGAAATAAATGCCACGCTCTTTCCAAGAGCACACGAGAAAAGATGTAAGCGTCTCAAGTCGCAAGGACGTCTTTTGCCGGCGTATCTAGTTTCTACCACGAAATCGTATAAATCAGATGTATCTTAACCGACACCCAGGAGAATGATTACTCCGACATATCAGGGTTAAGTAAAAACAAACATTATTGTAACTAATTCGCGGGTCCGTATAGTTTATAGTCTGTTTTTATACGTCTCTGATTGAATTATGAGACTGAAGTACAATGTCTGTTTTACGTATCGTTTTAATTCAATTCGAATATTGAACAGGGAAAGTATAAAGACGACCACTGTGCACGAGTGTGTAGCTTCGGGTATATAATAATGAAAAATGAAGATGAGTAACACTTACATACCCTTTTCATTATGCATCGGAAACGCATGGTTGGTGTTTCTATCTGTATGCGTTATATGTTTTTTTTATATCAATTGAATTCATATGAGCTTCAGATCACTAGTACCGTAAAAATTCCAAAAGTTTGTGGGTGTTGGGTTTGGCGGTATCGATGGCAACGCCTCCTTATCTCCAATGAATTCAACTTCCTATACAACGACAGTATCTGACGAATTACGGCAACGTTTCTTTCAAAATACTTTTCTAACATAATAGTTTTATTTTTCCTTTCTTTATTCTGCATAAAAAGATATTTTGATAGGAAACAAAGCTTATTCTCAATATCTTATAATTGACACAAACATGCCCAGTATATAAAACCGTTCTTTTGTATGGTAACTTTATGCAACTTCTTTCAGATATACGATATGCTACTGATTCGTGTTTCAACAGGTGAAATCGAAAGGTTGAATGGGATAATTAAGTGTTTATTTCGCATTTCAAAAGAACAAATTCAATTTTACACTGAATTTATTGAAAATTTTCATATTTTTTAATTTCTTTTATTTCTCTATTCGACGATTTTATTTTACTTTCAAGTCATAATCTATGTTTTAAGTTGACAAAATGCTTGTAACTTTTTTATGTTAATTTTCATAAAAATCACAATGCAAATGCTACCGTGTCGAGTCATTTACCTGGATATGTAACAGAAAAGATCGGTGTGTTAGTTAGGATGACCATGACAGCTATCAGGGGTAGCCAATTACCTCAGCGGGGGTGCACCATCCCCCATCGGTACATGTACTTCAATTTTCGCCCCTGGGCATCTTCTTTTACGGGCCACTGAACCCCACGCCGTGCATCGCCTGATTCAGCTATCGTATTTTGTCTGCTCGAGTTTCCACTGGCCTTACCATATGTCAAAATGTTAGGGCCAGAGGAAACTCGGGCAGATCTGACTAGAGACGTATACGTCCCTGATCAGTCACTTATATAGTTCTGTTTCTTTGTTTGTAGTTAAAAAATAAACATCGGGCGGTTAAAGCAGAGGGGTATAAAAACAATTTAT